GATTAAAAAAAATATTGTACAATAAATATTGTACAAATATATAATGTATTCTTAAAAGCTTAAAAAACGATTTCTAAATTATTTACATAGTAATGGTAATTAAAAATAAACTTTGTAATAAAACCACAAGAAAAACTTATAAAACGAATACTTTTTGACTTGAAAAAAGAAATAGAAGGAAATTCTAACTTTTTTAACCTATTTTTATATGAAATAGGTTATTCAATAAGCATGAATTACAAATTGTTGGCGTGACCATACGTGTATTGATAGATCAGTTTTATTCATTAAGATTAACAATATGAAAAAATATGCTACTCAATAACATTTCTAAATCGTTCAATCATTTTACCAAAGTAACCTATCTCTTAAAGCATCAAGAAACAAAAATATGTTTATTAGATAGAAACAAATTCACATATCGATGACAAGTGACCTGTACGACTAATAAAAATGAATATTTGCTCTGGCTCCGGTTCGTCCGAAACATATAATAACAAATCGAATAATTAAATATTTACATATGTATATGTATATGTACATGTAGATTTCACCCTCTTTCCGTGAAAAGAAAGTTGGTTTACTAATAACCGACTTTTAATTTGCACAAAAACTCATTGAATTATCAAACACTTATTTCCTACCAGAATTTTTCCCTTGCTGTCACTTGCAGTGAATCGACCCTGAGTTTTTCTTCAAAAGTTGTCCTCATCGTATAAATAGTAATTTTGTTTACACTATTTTACTATATTTCCAAGTTAAATAAAAAAGGTAATAATAAATCAAATTTTTATTAAAATCACTACTGTGAACTTTAAACTTTCTGAAGTTAAAAGAAACTATGCACATACATATAAGTACATTTGTGTGTAGAAGCGAAAAATATATTGTTATAAATGCTTTTGCATGTGTGAAAAAAAACGATTAAAAATTATGTACTTTGCATACAGAATAAAAATTTTCTTATTCACAAATTTCATTTAATCAATATTGTGAACTTGCATAGCTTAGGTTTTTTTTTGTTAAATCTAATCTATACGACATTATTTTCATGTAAAAGGAAACTTACAACTAACGAGGTTTTTATAGATTTTCAAATGAGTTACATAAAATAAACAATATTCTAATAAAATTTTTAAACTGTATTTAGGTTTTTAAAAGATTGAAAAAATATATATTAGGTACCCACATATGTATACATTCATACAAAATTTTGAAAAATTATTGGAAAATTTTTTTAAAAATATTTTATCTTGCAATTCCCTAGTATTAGAATGAAAATTTTATTTTTTGTTAATGTCCTCATTACTTGACGACGGTCTTCTAAACTATATTTCAAATTGCCCGGAAAATTAATTCAAAAACAGTTTCAAGAACAAAAATAGTAACTTTGATGAAATTGCTGCATGTTTTGGGAAGATTAATTGAAGGTTTTAAAAATATCTAACCAGAAACCATGTATAATAAGTATCCATAAGTATGTATGTACAATATGAACAAAAACTTAATTGAATTCAAACTAAGGAAATTACTACTTTAAATAATTTCTTATTATACTACATGTAACTGTAATATTATGAATTTTTATTCACACCATGATTTTTAGACAAATATTAAATTTTTTCGAACAACGAAATTCTCCTTGCTTAAATGAAATTTGGTTAGAGAAAATTTTTTTGAACGTCTTTAAAAAGTTGAGTCCGCGTTTGAGCCCATAATTCCCTTTTATTATAAGTTTTACCATATTATAACCTTTATCCGATATCCATATCCATATAAAATAGTAAATAAATTAAACTAAAATTAAGTTCAGTTTTTCTGAAACATGGTAAACAAATTCAAAAATTAGATTGCTTGTAACATATTTTATTGTATTTTGTGCAATATTTCTAAAAACCATTAAGGTAACTTAAACCTGCGGAACATTTTGATAATGAATTACATTTTGATAATGATATTAATGATAAATAATGAATTAGTAAAATAATGAAATAATTTTTGGTGTTTTAAAAATTTACAACGGGCTTACAATAAAATTATTTTTCTGTTCATTAATCCAGGATTTTATGTTCTTTATGTATATATATAAACATTATCTTTTTATGCACATACTTAAATGTATAAGAATTTATTCTTGTAGCACAAAATTTTGTCTTTGTGCTCTTACTTCTTCTAATCTATATTAAAGAAATATTGAAATCATTTCCAATTGAAAAACTGAATAAAGTGTAAAATATTTAAAAATTTTTTATGTAAGAACTCTAAACAACCGTGGCAATTGAAAATAAAAAGTTGTACTGGATGTGTTATGGTAATGAAATTTCAGAATTATCTTTTAATTTTTTAAATATCCCGAAATTTAATAATTTCAAAATAATAATTAATTAATCATACATACTTATATATATATATAACACACTTTAATTACGTACTATAATCCCTAATGATATATTCAATAGTTTTTGACAAAATGATCACATATTAAAAAAAAAGGAAATCCACATAAAAAAATAATGTGACACTATAATCATTATTTGTTTTACCTTAATATTTTATGGCATTTGTATAATGGCATAATAAATAACCTGCTTCAAAAAACTGTTGAAATTTTTTTGATTTAAAAAATCGGTGAAACTATAATGTACAATTTTAACCGCAAAATATATATAATTAGAATAATTTTTTGTTTCTTTTTCTTTTTCCTTTAATATCTTGTATTCTTATGCCCAGAAATTAAGTATTATATATATAAATACATATATACGTACTCATCCTTTATGTTATTCTGTTATATATTGAATAAAATATTTTATTTTTAAAATACGGTCACAAATTTCAAGTTATTTTTTTTATATTTTATTTTGTTAAAATATTTAATAGAAAAATAATTGGTTTGCACAAAAAAAAAAAACTTATGCATTATTTAATGGTTAATTTGTTTCATATTTTTTTCATTATTAGCCATAATTTTCATTTTATTAGTAAATAATTCCAATCTTATTTCCTTCTTGAAATTATTCGTTAATAATTAATAAACTTCGAAAATCAATAAATTTATGTAAAAACAAAACAATAAAATATTTTTAATTCACAATAAAAATTATTTTTCTAGAAAATTTTAAAAATGTATAAAAAAAATGAGTTTTCTTTTTGTGGAGTATTAATTACTTGAATCAATTTTATTTATGAATTTTGAATTTTACTTTATTAAAAATGTTCAATTCACATTCATAACATTTTACACATGCATAAATGATTAGTATAAAAATATTAAATAATTTGAAATAGAAAAAAAATGAACCTACTTCAGTAAATGTTAGGACGCGTTTGATTTGAATTTACTATCCTTACATGTTTATAAATAATTTTTTATATGCAATATAACACTGTCATGTAAAAGTGTACATGTTTCCTTTTTTCCCAATAATTGAAAATTATAATAGACAACTAAAAACGTAAATGAATATAACTCTAAGGTTATCATGAGAAAATTTAAATTATTCTTTTTAATCGTGTATTCATAAGAAATATTTAATAAATTAATTATATAAAATTTTAATTAATTAATTATTAAATATTTTGAATTACTATTTAATTATTATTTAAAATTTTAAAATTGTTAATTATTTTAATGAATGTTGATGGAATTTCAAATATTATAAACTGATTTCTAATTTTATAATGTAACTCCAAATATAGTAAAATTCGAAAGAATCAAATTCATTATGATACTAATAGTGTTTACTTTTCATGTATTACTTTCTATTTTCATATATGTATGTACATAAACACGCAAGAGCTGGAATTTTTATAAATGTATTTAAGAATATTTGTTTTAATACCGTTTAAATTTTATTTTATTCAATTAAGAAATACAATGACTTCTTTTTATTAATATTTATGCATTTGTCGTTTTTTAAACACTTTCTTTATTAGTATCTCCAAATCTCAAAATTAATTGTGAAACTCTTACATTTACAAAGTAAAAATTTGAATCAAAACGTACTTATTCTAGTGTTCCATCAGTAAATTCTGTTTAAAAACAATAAAATAATATTAATATGTACATAATGTATACTATATGTGACTGAAGAATAAAAAATGCTTATTTGAAGTATAACAGCTCACCGTAAAAAAGTCCTTTAAAAAGTTTTATGTAATTAAGTCCCTAGCGTATAATAATAGTCAATATAATTCATTAAATATTAAACGGGGTGTTACCTCCTTCTAGAAAATATATTTAAATTTGTATAAAAACAATCAACGTGTTTTTTTTTTCTTGAAAGCAAATACAGGACACTGTTGATTTTTATTATGCACATGTACATATTTTGTTGCTGTTATTATTTTGATAAGTTTCTCTAGTTTATATTTATAGATTTGTAATTACATATTTTTAATTTACTCTCTGACATACAAACTAAACCGAATTCAACATGAAAATATTTTTATGTTTTTCTTCGCATCCGTCTTATACAAAATGGCTTGGTTTAAATAGAGAAATATGATCACAGTAGTATCATATTAGAAAAACCAGGCAAGTTTTAAGTAAAATGTTTTTTAAATGTTTTCTTTCTTCCTTAAGTTATATTCAGGCAATAACGAATACTCTTTTTAGTTAAAGATAGTATGTACTAGACACTAGGGTCTTCTAAATCTTGGAGTATATGCTACTTGGTTGGTTTTGAATTATAGTTGTAATATGCTATTACGGTTCCTTTTAAAAGGTAATATGTATTTGAAATAGTTAACTTTAATTTTCCAACTGTAAAATACGGTTTAACTAGTTAGCCTTTTATTTCATACTTAATAAAAAAAAACAGTTTATCATTAAACACACGCATATAACATGCGATTATTTTCAGAAATTGTAATTTAAAACATTATTATGCTTATGTACATATTTCTTATGGAAAATACCTATGTTGATAACCTTTTTCAAGTTCTTGTTATTAAATTTGTATTATGGACCCACAAATAAAATGGAATCATTTGTTGATTCGAATGTACAATTATTTTATTGTTTCAAAATTAAAATACAAAAACTACTTAATTTTTTTCACGTATAACATAACAGTTTTGTTAAATAAAATAATTTTTATAATGCTTAAAACAGACAAGTTTTCACAATATCAATTACTTATTATACAAATCATTGCATTCTACTCAAATTACTTTAGTCAATTTTCTTTTAATTTTAAGTAAACAAATTTAGCCTAATGATGATGTCCGAATGTAATAATTAATGGTAAAAGAGCACCACATACCATTACTATTAATTCAAAATTTTTTAGACCTCCATATCCTTTCGGATTTGCGTTAATGATAGATATTCCATTTCCGTCTTCACCTTTATCTAAAGGATCGTAATTTATATTCGAGCGCCCACTTGAGTTATGAGAATGAGAGTGACCTGTGTTTTGCGTTAATTCTGGTAAAACATGAACTGTGGCTACATATAAAAATGTTCCAGCCGAAAACAGCATTGCAATTCCTGTAGCATTAACAGAATCTAAGGTTTCCTTTTGCTCTTGGCCTATGCCAAAGTATGTAATCAATGCAAATAATGGTGCTGATAATGAAAATATAGCTAAATGTTTTCTTATGCGTTGTCTATCAATGCCTTCATGAAGTAAAAAGCTGACCAAACCAAACGCCGCTGGGGCTTTATGCAACATTATGGCAAGGAAAACAATCATTTCAACATCTTGATGGCTAGTAGTAGCAGCAGCCCCTAGAGCGACACCATCGGCTAAAATACGCATTTTATTAGAGTAAAATCAGACAAAGGATTTTTATTTGGTTTTTATACTTATTCTTCAGAAACTTATTTATTTTTGTTGAACAAATGTGATATTTACCAGCAGCATGTACAACTAATCCTAACGTAGCCGTGATGTTTTTGTCACTACTACTTCGTCTTTGTGAAATTTGATCCACAAGTAACATGAATATAAAACCTGTAGATATAAATCCAATACTTCAGTTTTAAATTAAATCTGAAAAATTTTGCACTGCGAATACCTACCTAAAACTAGTGAAAGACCTATTGTACTGGAATAATCGTTAGTATGTGCGTGATGAATATTCGCATTTTCTTTTTTAGTTGTTACTCCGCTGGTATAAATTTTATTATCCTTTGTAGTTGACATTTCATTGTCCATAGACAGAGCGCTTATTCCTTCTGGAATTATCACAGTCAACGCTGTACCCACTAATAGACCTGCCCCAAAAATTGTCACACTACGAAGTTTTTCTTCGGACAAATTTACTACCAGTGGTATATTTCCAGCAAGATAAGAGCCAACTAACATTACTATTGCCAATAACAATAGCATTGATGTCTGTTCATCCATATTAATTGAATATTACTTTTACTGCTTAATGCGTGAAATGAAATTTTTAAAATTATTAAATTTGAATGAATTTTCTTGTCATTTTGTGAGAGCGATCGTTTTATCCTTTAAAATTTTGTACTATCTACAATTTGAAGAAATCGTTAAATACAAAACTGGATTTATAAGGTAGGTAGTAAAATATGACTTTAAAATTTAATATTTAACTTAAAATATATTATGAACATAATATGAACATTTTATAAACAAATATTTATTTATTTAGATTTAGACGTGTCAATGTGGTGATTTGTGTTTGTGAGAAATTCTTTTTTTCAATTCTTCTTTACTTTTAGTTTTTATTCCATTTTGTTTTGTATTTTTCGTAATGAAACAAATATTGCCATAGTACACAAATTTTGCGGAATGTTGTATTTTTTTTGCGCTGCCAATGTTCGAACTACACAACAACTACATAAAAAGCAACCAAATCCTTGCCAGCTTGTAAGTTGAATGCTCAAAATTGAAGAAGTTTCAACAATTTAAAGTTTGAAACATTTTCTTTCAGTGCTGATGAAATTGACTAAAAATGATCATAAAAATAGTTTTAAAGAAAAAATTGATAGAATGAAAGAAGTCAAAACGAAAATATTAAAAAACAATTGCTATATTTTCTGAAAATAGAAATAAAAACATTTGTTTTAAAATAAAATTGTTTTAAAATAAAATATTTCAGTTTATTTAGATGTTTTCTAATTCTTTTTTCTATATCGCGCTTAAGATAGAGAAAAGGTTCATTTGTTGAAAATGTTGAAAAGGTTCAAAAGTTGCATACCACAAAAATTAGTTACTGTTTGCATACACAACAAAATCTACGATTAAGTTTTCTTCTGATGAAAGACATATTTGTAAATTGTTTGCCATGAGATTTTGTCTGATAAGAGAACATAATAGAATATATAATAGATAATCAAATTTAATCAATTCACATTGGATTACCTAGCAGATTTAAAAGTACATAAATAAAAAATAATTTTTTGTGAATGTTTTGAGCAGGGATTAACTGAATTTCATTTTGGTTAAAATTTACGTTGCAAATTATTAAGTTTCAGCGACTGAAATAAATTTAGTCTGATACTTAAACACTCATCTAAATTTAACTTAAATTTTGTAGTACAAAATGTACTATGACAGTAAAATACTGTCTACAAATGATATTACATTTATGCATGCCTACAGATTTATGGTCAGATTGTTGAACAGTAAAATGATGACAATTGAGTTTTTTGAAAATTAAAACGGTGATCATCTAGTTTTTATTCTGATTATAATTTTCGTTAAAAAATTATTAAATTTTCATTTAAAATCCGAGCTCCAGCAGACGATTTCATTCAAAATTTTTTGTCTTGAAATTTAGGATAAATAAATTATGAATATCGCTATGTACTAAATCGGAAATATTCAATCATGATATATTAAATTTAAACTTAGTTACCTTATTAGAAAATAAAAATCTTTGTCTTGTTAATGTGTCTCTCTTCACCAAAAATTTTTATTCAAATTATTGACAGATTGTATTCATTCTAAAATATGTTTTGACGTTCACAAAAAATAACTAAAGGCTTGTATCAAAATTAAATTTATAACATATTAAATTTATAACATCAAAATTTAATTGAATTTTTCTTTAAGTTTTGTCTTGTAAAGGAACCTGTATATTATGATCTAGGACTAAAGAGTAATAGGAAGAAAAATTGACTAAAAAAGTTAGCATTTTTCACCACATATATTTTTTAATTTATCAAACAATGCTTTTCAACAAAGTTATATCATTAAAGTACGAAAATGGGTTGTTCCTTATCCTGTATTCGTGGAGAGTCTATGTGTTTTGGAAAATCAAGAAAATTTCGATTGTGAATAATAAATTAAAATTGGATTTTTTTTGTGAAATGGTGAACATATTATCACCATTTACAAATATCGCTATTGTTGGCGTTGCATTACTGTCAACTACAAAATTGTCAGAACCTGCAATACCAGCCATCATTTTCACTGTACCTAATCTTGAAACTGTCATATTTTTGTGCCTGCTTTCCATCTTCATGCATTAAACCAAAAACATTATAATAACGCATTAATTTTTAAAGTTTTTGGTTAAACACAATGGCACCGCACCTAAAAACTATATAATTCGATAACTGCAAAAATGTTAGCTTCAATGCTTTATGGCGTTAACGCTGCAATAACAACGTACGATAACATACAATATAAAAAAATAAATGATGCTGCCAAAATCAGTAAAATATTACTGGTAGCAAATTCAAAAATAGAAAATAAACTAAATTTGAAGTTGCAGTTCGCGATTGTAGTTTTATTTGTGCGATTCCATTAAATAACCCAAAAGCTATATATATTTTTGCAGTTGTCAAATTTTGCAGTTTGAAGTGCGATCTCAGTGTGTTTAAGGTATGATTATGTTTCACTCGGTGTAATTAACTAAAATCTTGCAGTTGTCAAACTAGATTGGAAACGTCAAAATATAGGTCGGTACTAATTGTTTGTTTATATTTTTTTGCATCCAAATTTAGAATGCTCGGTGTAATGTCTTCAAAATTTTGACTAAGTTCACGTTAATTCAATATATAAAAGTTAGCAAAAATTATTTAAATATTAATATGATACGAATTGTTGCAAAGACATTTCAATTAAACCACGAACCCTTAACGTAAGTGCATACATTTAAAATAAACAAAAGTGATGCATATGTTAACAAACGCTAACCTCTTTTAGTTATATTAATTATTGTTTCAAAAGGTATTGCAAGGTTGCTGCTAGTAGTATTTTTGAAATACCAATTGATCGAATTAGAAATTTTAGTGTTATAGGTAAAATGAAATATAAGTAACTATAAGTACATATTTAATTTTCAATTAAAACTTTAACTTTGAAACTATCATAATTGAATTTTCCTTCAACCAGCTCATGTTGATCATGGAAAGTCAACACTTTGTGACAGATTGCTTGAAATAACTGGAGCAATTTCAAAAGATTCTACAAATCAACAGGTAAATTAGTATATAAACTTATCGCATGTAATACACTGTATATACATATTTATGTATGTATTTTAATTCTAATATATTAGGTTTTGGACAGCCTCCAAGTTGAAAAAGAACGAGGTATCACTGTGAAAGCACAAACCGTATCTTTGCTTTATAAATATAAAGGTATAAACTTAGCTCAAAATTTATAAAAAAAAAAATTATATGGCAGTTTCTCTTAGGGCAACAATACCTATTAAATTTAATTGATACGCCAGGTCATGTTGACTTTTCTAATGAAGTGGCCCGGTCTTTATCTATATGCGATGGGGTTGTTTTGTTGGTTGATGCCTGCCAAGGTGTTCAGGCTCAAACCGTTGCAAACTACTACTTAGCTAAAAGTAAAAATTTAGTTGTTGTTCCAGTGGTAAATAAAATTGATTTAAAAAATGCAAAGCCAGAGAATGTCATAAGAGAACTAGAAGCGCTTTGTCAAGTTGACGGCAATAGTGTGCCAAAGGTATCAAATACATTTTCAGATTTTCTTATTTATATCTTGATTCAAGATTTCAGCAAAATTAGGAACGGGGGTGGAAAACGTTCTTGATCAAGTTATTGAAAGGATTCCGGCCCCACGCGTGGATCGAATGAAAGATTTTCGTGGGCTAGTATTTGATAGTTGGTATGATCGATATAAAGGGACGCTAAATTTGACTTATGTGCATGACGGTAGTGTAAAAATAGGTAAAAATTTTCAGAAAAAATGATAAGAGATTTTTATGACAAGAGACTTGTTTTTCAGGGGATGAAATTCAATCTTATAGTACAGGAAAAACTTACCCAGTAAAAACGATTTCTATTCTGAAACCCGAAGAAGTTTTGGTTGAAAAACTGTAAGTTAATTATTCGAAAATAACATTAAAACAAAATAAAATTAAAGTTTGACAAGAAATTGCTAATTTTAATGTTACATTCTTTCATTTTTATGAGTGATTAGTTGTATCTTTAGTTGTAATTCAAAAACAAATTGAAAAATGACGCTGATTTCAATTTAAATAAGCCTTTTCAATTACATCAAAGAAAATTTTAAATTGGAATTCGACAATTAACTTGACTTCTTTTAAGGTCTTATTGGAACAAACGGCCTAAGTGTATCTTGCCGGCGCTATTATCATATGTTACCACTGCTCAAACCTCTAATGCAGCAAGTAATGTTCAACAAGTAAGATATTATGCAAAAAACAAAGATAAAGGAAAAGAGAAAAAAAAGAAGTCTGGAAAAATAGAAATCAACGAAACATTGATTAATGAATTTATTGATTTAGAAAAATACAATACAGAAATGCGTCAAATTGTAGATCAAATGAAAGACGATTTCATTAAAAACATATCGCTTCGCTCTTCAGTTGGGTCCATAGAAAGTTTAAAAGTAACCATAGATGGAACGGAACATGAAATCCAAGAGATCGCCCAAATTAGTAGGAAAGGGACCAAAACGCTTATAATTAATATGGTTGCGTTTCCGCAATATATACCAGATGTGTTAAAAGTTGTCAATGCCAGCGGAATGAATTTGAATCCGCAACAAGAAGGGACTACTTTATATGTGCCTGTCCCTAAAGTATCAAAGGAACATAGAGAACAGCTTTCTAAAAATGCGAAAAGTCTTTTTGTAAAATGCAGAATTGCTGTGAGACAACTTCAAAATGATGCTATTAAGAAACTAAAAAAACAAGAAAAAATATCGCAGGATGATAGTTTTTCTATCCAAACTCAGCTTACCGCTATAGCAGATAACTTCGTTAATGACGCTGAAAATATTTTGGCGGTTAAGCAAAATGAATTAATTGGTTCTAAAGATTAAATATTTCTTTTTTTTTTTGATAATCACTATCAATTTACAATTGTTAAAAATTTAGCATTTAGAATTAGTTATTCCGTAGAAATATAATGTAATTCCTTGTCAAACATGATATTGTTATAAATTTCACGAAAAATTTATATGATATTTAATTTGTTTTTATTTAAGCGTGGCAGGTCAAGTTGGTTTGATTAGTTGCAATATGCGTAATAGTCAAGAAATTTCTATTGGCGAGACAATTTGTTTGCACGATAAAAAATCTAAAATTACTCCATTGGAAAGATTTAAAGCTTTGCAGCCAATGGTATTTGCAGGTATTTATCCAGCTGATCAGTCAAAGCACGTTGCATTACGAAGTGCAATTGAAAAATTAATACTAAATGATTCTGCTGTTACTCTGATAACAGAATCAAGTCCTGCATTAGGTCAAGGTTGGCGCTTAGGTTTTTTAGGCTTATTGCATATGGAAGTATTTTGTCAACGATTAGAACAAGAGCATGATGCTGAACCCATAATTACAGCTCCATCCGTAACATATCGATTAAAGCTCCGCAACCCTAAGTTAATAAAATCATATGGATCGGATTTAATAGAAATTTCTAATGCTTCACTATTCCCAAATCCGATGGATGTTGATGAATATTTTGAGCCACTTGTGAGAGGAACAATAATTACTCCATCGGAATATTTAGGAAAAATTATTTCTTTATGCGTTGAACGTCGTGGAGTACAAGAGCAATCAATAAATATTGATAATGATAGAATTTTGATGAAATATATTTTACCATTAAGTGAAATTATTGTAGATTTCAATGATAAACTTAAATCTATTAGTTCCGGTTATGCAAGCTTTAATTATGAAAATCACGGATACCACTCTACTAACATAGTAAGACTTGATGTTCATTTAAATGGCAAAGCGATGGAAGAATTTTGCCGAATTGTTCATTGCACGAAAGCCCAAACTATAGCAAGAGAAATGGCTTTGAAATTACAAGACTTAATTCCTCGGCAGATGGTCCAAATTGCTATTCAAGTATGCGTGGGAGGCAAAGTATTAGCAAGAGAAACTATAAAAGCTTATAGAAAAGATGTTACAGCTAAACTAGTAAATGCGATATAAACATAAGCAATTTTTTCATCTAACTTTTATATTTTAATTTTTTAGTACGGAGGAGATGTTACAAGACGCAAAAAACTCTTAGCACAACAAGCCGAAGGTAAAAAAAAAATGAGAATGGTAGCTAATATAAGAGTTCCACATGAAGCCTTCATAAATATATTAAAAAGATAACCATAATTTTAGAAACTTTTATTGTTAAGTGTTTTTCGCTAATGTGTACATTAGAATATTATATATAGCAATACAAGTAAAGTACTATAAAATTTAAATTTGCATAAAAAAGATGGTTAATTCTTGTATGATACTCCCACGACGATAAAAATATTTGCAGAGAAAATACAGAGCTATCAGCCTAAAGTATTTGTTAGAGTTGCACAACAGCTCCTTCAGGAACATGTAATTAAGTTTATAGATAAATTTTAAAATGTCATTAAAAAATATTTATGTCTCTTAGCTTAAAAAAGATTGTTTAAATTCGAATTAGCTGCACGGAAGATAACTAATGGTGTTCAGATCTTAAGGGGAAAAAATTCAACTTCTGTTAATGTTAGTACTCAGGTACATAATAAGAAATTATGTACTCTATTAAACTCTCATAAAATTTAAACTGCAACTAAAATTGGACTAACTTAAATTATCTCCTTTCGCTTAATTTTGGTAGGCAAAATCTATAAAACTTTTTAAACAATATGACAATTGTTTCTTAAAAATGAATCTAAAAACTTTTCTTATTGTTTCTCTTTGGGAAAATTTTTTAAAAATATTTCAATATTTCAAGTTGCAAATTTACACATCCGGTTAAAGTTAACATACAAAATACGGTGTACACTAACAAACATCCAGTAAAATCATATTATGAGAATTTAGGAATGGAATAAATTTAAAATAATATAGCTACACAATAAATATTATGCATGCAGTAATATACAATAAATATTATGCATACAATACTAATTAACAAATTTGGTTAGCTTGGTTTTCTGATTTTTGAATACTTTACCATATTTCGTTAGCGCAAAAGTTTTCGACTGCAAATCCAAGTTTCAAAACTGCTTTTTAAACTATTCAATTTGTTTAAGTATTAATGGAAAAACGTTATTGAAGAAAGCCTTTCAAAAATTTATTTTTAAAAATTCTTTTTAAGTAATAAATCTTGAATCTTGATTGTTCAATTTATTTTTTACATTTAGTGTTTACATTTATTGACAATAAAATAAACCAGTACATATGTACATATATCAATTTGCAGTTTACAATAATATCGACTTTGTACTACAGATCTCAAAATTTAAATAAGACTTCCTTTTAATTTCTGACTTAAATAAGACTTCTTGCGAAATATCTTTTAATTATAAGTTTTAGTACATATTACTTTATTAATGTTTGTAAATCAAAATAACACCTTACTTTAAAATATTAAATTTATATTGAAATATTTTAAATTTAAAAATGAAATGCAAAATTAAAGTATGCTTAGTTAAACATAACTAATTTCAATATAATTATTACATGTTAATTAAAAACACAAAACCTGAGTCATAGCATACACTTGTTTAATATTAAAGTAAAAGGCTTCTTAATATTGTGTAACACAAATTTATTTATTAATTTACAATTTTATCGAAATAGATATCAAAATTTAACATGTTTCCGAGCTTATTTGTACAGCTTCATAACAAGAAAAATAAAATAAAATTAAAGTTTTTCAATATTAATTTTATAGGTATACATACATAACTATGAGAAAACTGCACAACATATTATAGAAAACCTTTTTATGATTAATATCAAAATATTAAGAGCATTTAAGGTAAACGTGAGATTAATTTGTAATTTTAAATTCATTTGGAATCCAAAAGTCGTATATCTATATTATTAAAAATCAATACAGCTTCCAGAAAACGTAATGTAAATTATAAAACGTTTTTTAATCAGTTATGTGATAAATGTACACATAAAAAGATATCATAGAAATTGAAACACGAAATTTCTTTTATTTCATAAAATGGCTGGGCAATTTTGTTTTTAACTTCTGTAAAATTCAGATATACTATTTAAGCAAAACCTCTTAAATGCGATTTCTAAATAACTTAGCCCTGTAGAATTTTGAGACCGGATTACTTGTTCATTCTAATATTATAAGATTTTCGCTTTGGTTTAAAGTGTACTTAACGAGTTTTTACAGAACCTGCAAAAAAAATACCAAAACCGTTAAAAAAAATCTCCCATTAAAAATTTTCATACAATTAGTATTTTAAAAAAAAAATTAATGTTTTTGTTCCAAAAAAAGGTTAACACTATTAAAAACGAGAAGAAAGAGAGATGACCGTAGCTGCTATATGCGATAGCAATAAGAGTATTTATTAAAAGCTATGTGGCTTTGTTAACAAAAACTTTTCTTGGTTTCCATACGTCTTGTAATATTATATAGGTTTAATGCAATTGATTTTTGAATTTGTATGACCGAATGATATGACCAAATTATTTATGGAGCTGTTGCAAGAACTTATACAACCACAACCAAATTTTAACGGAAAAACGACCAAATTATTTCAAGTATTGTATGAATTGTATGAATAGCTTTTACTGAACTCAAATTAAATAGAGTTCTTGCGGAAACCGCAATTGGCGATTGGTATAAATTTTCTTAGTTTAGTATAACGGGTTTTTGAGCTATCGCTGGGAGGAACAAGCATAGCTAAATCGATTCCGAATTTGACACTGTTCAAAAACATGTATTTACTTGTGCCTATATGTCTGTATTTTATAGTGTTACAAACGAAGTGGTAAGTTTATACTTATTCGATAATAAATAGTATCCATACTATTTAAAGAAAATTTTTTTAATATCTTAAAAAGTGTAAGTAGCCATGTATGTTAATTATGTATATAAAAATGATTCATAATTTGTTCATAAAAGTAAATATGTAAAAATATCTTCAAATTTTCATCGCCAGGTACAAGATCATTTAAAAATACGACATTTAACAATGTACTTTTTACAATTGCATTAAGCTTATGACACATTCATTTTAAAAAAGAAACATTCAAATTCATAAACATTTTAAATTCATACGTTTAAATTTTTAAAATTTGCTCATAAATTATGCAATTATTCCACAAAATAGTATTTAAAATGCGAAAACAGCTGAATACTTATATAAAATGACCTCTAACTAAGAGTTAAAGAGATTAATTCATTAAATTATGTATAAACAATATACTCATTCATACATATAGGTGATTTTCGAATATAATATTACATATTTAATTTTACAATATTAAAAAAAAAAGAAAGTGTTTAACTCCTAAATATTATATTGATTAAATTTACACAAACGTACGGCATATTAAGGTTATTATATTTTCAACACTTGGTTGTTGTAACACAAAATATGTTATAAGAAATGGTTAGTTGCTTGCCTAGATATATTATTATTATAAAGAGCTGTGAGGAAGACTTGAATGTCATTTAATATTTTAAATATTATTTAAGTATATAAGTATATAATATAACTTAGTATATAAGTTAAAATTGAAGTAGTGCAATTAAATTTAATATACAAGTTACTAAAATAATAACGATCAATGTTAAATCAATAGCCAACCTTACTTTCCAAATTAACTTTTTTTTAATTAAGTAAGGAAGTACAAAAATCGTGCAAATAAAATATTTGTTTTCATTTTTTACACTTCCACACAGTTTAAAAGCTGCGGTAGTAGAAAATTTAAAAGAAGTTTTAATTATAATGAAGATGTCAATAGTTATACTATATTTTACCGATAGAAAGATTCCGATAGTTATACTATATTTTTATATGCATAATTTTTACTGTATTTTATTTTATATATATGTACATTATCAAAAAATGATTAAAACGACTAATATTTATGTTGATGTAGGTGCATCTCTATATATAGATCGCGTGCAAATTAAATAACTTCACGATTCACGATTATAAAATATTAAAATTTTACACGTCATTTATTAACAACAATTTGCATTCTAGCTATTTAAATGAAACTAAAAATGAAAAATAGAAACCATAAATTAGCTAAAAAAAATAAAACTGTGTGAAATAAATTGTTTTTTTTTTTTTTTGGTTCATTTATTATTTATCTTTTTTTTATTAAACATGTCACCAATAGTAATGACGAATTGTGGGTTCACGTTTGTTTTTTGTTCAAACTTTGGTAAATCGCAATAACATGCAAGACATGTTAACCTTCATTAACTTGTTTTACACTCTTTTTATACTGAAATTGTTTCATTATAATTTTTTTTGTATTTTATGCGGTTTCGGTAAATGAATGGTTAACAATTTTGCTTTTTTTTATGAAAGAAAAGCTGAAAATAAAAAAGTTTAAATAGAAAGTAATACAGAAACTGATAATCCATTTTTGTATAGTAAATTGCATTCAGGAAAGAAAATGATTCTACCCATAATAAAATAAACTGGATTTTTATTAACGTATTTTTTTATTTATTTACCCATTTTTGATTATAGGAAGAACATCACAAATTAATTTTGGAAATATTAACATTTATGTTGTTATCTTTATAAATCGGAATATCTTTAACAAGAAAGTTAAGCCTTTATTTTTGTTTATTTGGAAAGTTTTTTTAATCTTTTATTCATTATGTTAAAATTGTCATAATAACAATCAAATTTGAAATGGTTTTCCTCAAACTATTGTACCTATTTTTGTATTTTGTTTCATCATTATTCATTAGCAGTTTTATCCCTATAATATTTTAAAATATTTTGCAATTATTGTCGAATATTTAATAGATTTTAAAACTCAAGTCGTAAAGTTAGTAATTGAAAGATAATTGATATAAAAGAGGTGACCAAGTTCTGAAACTTAGATTAGATAGTCTTACAAACAATAAACTGAGCCTTAATCTTTAGTAGTGCTATATGTAATCAACATTAAGACACAAAACAAACATTCAGTATCCTATATTGAGCAAGTTAAAAATAATTTGATAGCTAATTTTAGTTATTTAATTATGTAAGAAACGAAATTTAAGAACCATTGGTATTTTTCTTTGATACTTATGCATACAATAGTAATTTCTAAAGTGCATGATTATTACTTTGTTATATGTGTATAATGTACACCTATATCACCTATAGGTTATATATACTGCAAAAAAGGTTTCCTTGAAAATAACCTTCTTTAATAAAATGAAGAACACAGTAAATTCGCGAGACTTCTTGTTAAT